TCGTATAATGTATGCTATACGAAGTTATTACGAAAACTAAAATTACGCGCACCTTCTCAGCTACTTCCCGCACGGACGCCACGGATGTTCCATAAAGATTGTCGTTATATTGTCCGGCCTCTATGAACAAGTGATTCTGTATGTCTCTCTCCATTTGTTCCCTCGACGCCACGAAGTGATAATCCCGTCCGTCCACCTCGTATTCCCTTCTACTCCTTGTTGTATCTGTCGGCGCGCAAAAGATCGGTATACAAAACCCACACGTCTCCGTCGTTGATAATCGAGCGTCGAGTGACACTTACGTGGAACGCAGCTGCCGAATTTATCAGGGAACTCGGAGATGAGATCATCGTTGATGCGATCCTTGAGCGGTCCGAGAACGATCACGGGACGCGTGTACTGTATCGTCAGTTGCTGCACGGCCTCGTACGAGAGGACGTTCTCTTCGCTGCCTGCAATCGTTCAATTCAATTTAGATACGCACGACTTTGCGACGCGCCCACCCATTCCCGAAGAGGGGGACGCTTCTCGTCGGGTGATCGCTAGCAATCTCGCATTCTCGCAAATCCTGGACGGCACACAAGTTTATTCACACAACAACGGAAAAAAAAGCAACACTCGTCATCCCCAAAAGACGAATAACGACACTTCCCGCTTCCCGAGAAAGACAGGCCTTCCTCCCCTCGTGATATCAGCGATTAATTCACACACCTCCACGAAAAACGGACGCTGCACAATGTTACACGAGCGGAGCACTCGCGCGGGAACCGCTCGAAACCGTTTCCTCCGGCCGGATCAAGAGTCCTCCAGCGCTGGACGCCTCGATTGTCCCGAGCGGTCTCGTCCGGCTCGAGTGTTCCGTTTTCAAGGACAAGTACTGGGACATTTCGTTGGACGAGTCACGAGCATGCTTTCGGGGTGAGATCGAAGCAGAGGGAGAGGGAGTAAAAGCTACATCTTTCCTAATGACTAGAAAACTTGTAAGCGATCCAGGAACGTCAGGTGCAAGTGGCGTTAGTATGTATAGCGGCTGTACACTAGTACTTGGCGGAGAAAGAAACGGGAGGGAGGTCTCTATTCGTAATCAATACCGCGCGCCGCTAACGTACGTTACGAGCTCGATATTAATGCGAGCACGAAGCGACGGCGTCGTCGCTTCTTCTCGAGTTTCAGTCGCGATAATCGAATACGTGTCCGGAACTTTCGCGCGGACGTGAGAATGAGACGCGCGCTTCGCGCCCGACGTTTCCGGCGGACGACAAGAAGAAGCGACGCGATTCCTTCGCCTATTTGCGCGCTCTAATTGCGCCCGCTGCTGTTAATGTCTACGGGGCTCTACACGATCGGAGGGTGGAGAGCGGCGACGACAAACAAAAAAAAGAAAAAAAAGAAAAGAGAAAACGAAACGAGAAAACAGAGTCGTGGAAGCACGTCGCGCGGCCGTCTCAATTGCGCGCGAAGCCGTCTCGGCGCGGGACACGTTCCGTCAGCAATTTAACGCGAAGACGAGCCCCGGGAAATTAACGGCTGTCGAAGGAGACGGACGTTTCTCGATTAGTGCCTTAAGCGGGAGAATTGTATTCGCGATTGCTTCTCGATTTCGATCACGAAGCCGATTTCGGTGCGAGCGCGCCGTGCGGTCGAACTTGAACCGGTATAAACGTTGTACGTCACGCGCTATTAATAAAATTAGACAGCATACAGTAAAGTGGCGAAAGTAACGAAATATTTCATTCGATTATCCTTATTACATTTCGTACGATATTGCTGCGACCGCGACGCGGCATTCGATTCGCGCGACATTGGAAGCGTTAATGGGAGATCCGTATCGGAGATCGTTAGCTGACACACACCCTGCAGGGTTACAAACAACATAGCTATCCGCCCGATTATCCCGTCGGAAGGGTTATAACTGTCTGCGATCTGCGTTAGTCTCCTGTGACAAAAGAAAATCGGCTGTGTGCGCGTCGCGCTCACACTACGGTTCACACAATTCTGCTCTCGGCTACGACTTACTAAGGTCGTCATCGGGCTCATCGCCCTCCTTTTCCAGATAAACTAACGTGAGTTCCTCCATATACGGCAGCTGAACGCGATACAAAATTTCTCTACTCCCTTTGGCGCAAGACACATCTTGAACGAATAAGAAAATAGAGAGAAGGATAAATTACGTAATGAATGAGAGACGAGTGATGGACGGCGAAGACGCGGCGGTGAGGAAGAGCGTCGGATGATTAACGAGTCGCCGGGAAAGTTCTCGATAATCGACCAGCACCTCCACGAGTCAACTCTAAGTCGTGTCGATAGTCCTCAGATTTCGGCCTTTATCTCGAAAGTTTGCAAAATAATTTCGGCTTTGAAATGTCGAAAGTTAGTTGAGTTCGCTTGTCTCAAATGTCGAGAGAGATTGCGATATTAAGTTCATTCACAATTTTATACGCTTTTATGGATGTCGCATTGCTTATTCATCAAGACTTTGAGTTGACTTTTTACATTGTGCTATCGAAAACTAAACGATAGATATGCTATGCTGCCCATGGCGACAATAAATGTCGGCGTATACTTTACTCCTGAATAATTGCTGGTGAATATATGCAAGCGTGATGGATCATGTCGCAAGGAAACGATGGAACAGAGGATGCGTCGAGACTTTTCGGTCACGACAATTCACAATTACTTTCCAGCACCGATATCTTATCATCTGACAAATTTAAACTCACAGTGTTGAATTTGCATGAATTTCCATTAATTAATATCCGAGTGCATTCGTTTTGCATTAGACGATGTTATTAGGTGCGCTATTGAAATAATTAACATCAAAGTAACTTTGGTATCAATATTAATTGCATTAATCTATTCGCGCGTTATCGTGACCGGAAGTCATTATCCCGCATAATTGACCCAGGCAATACGACCTCTTCGATATGAGGAGGAGCAGGAAAGATATGATATAGAGAAAGGAAAGAGAGAGAGAGAAAGATAGAAGGGCTAAAGACAGCGAGATAAAAAGAGCGGGAGCGAAGAGAGAAGAGAGAGAGAGAGAGAGAGAGAGAGACATGATTACCTTCAGTGTTAGTGTCGTCCTGGGTGTAGCACAGCATGAATGCTAGAACATAACAAGTTGAATATATTTCAGTATACGTTGCGTACTAAGTAAGCGACCGTTAATTATCGCTAGGATTAATTAAAAGCACTAAACTCTCGAAGACTCTACTGCGCGCGCGATTCCGGCGCGCACACTATGAATGAATTCGATGGACGAATATGAAGTTTGCAAGTGCGTTTTGCGAAGTCTGGTGCGAGACACGCAAATCCGAATCACACCCGATCTAATCGCCCAATTAATCGCGACACATCGCCGTGCGATGATTATTGCGTCACGCAAGAAGAATTGAACTGAGAAGCGTATGCCAACGTGCGTTTATCTTACGACGCTCGACGGATATCGAATCCCCTCCTCGCTATAGAGACATTCATGCTCGAAAAAAAAAGTCGAAAACACGATAAAAAAAAAAGAAAAAAAAGTACATCAGCCGTGTCTGCTCGAGACTGCAGCACTCCTCCGCTCGCCGCTCAGCTAACAGCAAGTTGTTAAGAAAGCATGTACTACCTGCCCAGTTTCGTCGACATTGAAGTCAGTACCGAAATCACGCGTTATATTTCCTCGTGGAGCGGCGCGGAGAACTTTTTCTCGATTCAACAACGAAGAATGCGACGTATACATGCATCTAGTAGTTTAGATAATTTCCCTTTCGGTCACCCGATCGAAGTGTTGGTGAGTGTGTCTCTGATGGGAAGATGACGATGACGTGCTTCGTGACATGATCCATGGAAGATGAAGAGGGGTTGCGTTTCTACCGCGTTTTACTATTCCTTCGTGGGGGGGAAGAAAAAAAGAGAAAAAGAAAGAGAGAGAGAAAGAGAAAGAGAGAGAGAGAGAAAGAGAGAGAGAGAGAGACAGAGAACATGAGCTACTATCTGAGAGGAACATTGCTCTACCGTGCTGGACCGCTACTACAGGCTATTCGTGAACCTCCGATAATGAAAAGCCAGAAGTTAGAAGTGAAGTCGAGAGCGTAGAATAAGAGCGTGTCTCGGTCAGGGTGTTAGTAGTACCAGAGACTTTCGTGCGGTGCAGAAAAGTTCGTGATGCCAGCGTGCATGCGCAGGCGAGAGCAAAGCGACTTTGCCCTCGCGCGGCGGCTGAGTGACGCGCAGCGTTTCGCCCGCGAGCGACAGTTCGAGCGAGGTCCTGTTCAAGAAACGCGCGAACTCGCTCTCGAGGCGAAGATAAATATTTACAACTTCATTTATTGCAACAATGAGACAGAATCTTTCTAATTTTGATTTTTGCGAGCGCTGTCACAAACGTAAGTTTACTTCATTCGGAAACGAGAAAGAAAAGAATTGAAAGATATTTGTTCGAATAAGTTACGTTTCAGCCCGAATTTTCATTCAGTTCGCCGTATTTTAGATAAACTTTTGAGCTTGCGGCGCGTCTGTGTATGAGAAATGCTGGAAGCGCACATTTACGAAGCTTATTACTTGTACTCTGTACTAATTAAAATACTTACGGGTGGGATCGTTCTCATTCTCGGGTGTGGTGGGCGTTCCTACATAAGCAGGCAAAACAAAACACATATCACATTTTCACATGGTAAAAACACAAAAGCTCATTCGGGACTTGGGCGTGTCTGATTCCGGTCTCAATCGAGTCGGAACTTGAGATCCTATATCGATAGTCTTATTCGTTCGATCGAAAATTCTCGTTCTCTATCATCGCATTTAAAAGCATTGACGTTTGTTCAGAACGTTTCTTTCCTTCTTGTTACCAGCTGCGAGATTCGCGCGCAAAGCAGCATTGTGGAAATTAGAAATCGTAATGTCGTATTGAATTGCTTTATAAAATACTGCGTGACGTTGCAGAACAGGCGAGAAAAAGTTGGCTTTATTAGTGCAAATGACAAAGTACTTCTTTCTAACGTCACATCTTGAATTACAACGTCCTCGGGTAAGCTTTCCGACTCTGTTGCGAAACACACACACATACTGAATTAATAATCAAAATTGTATCCATCGATTACGAGGACGAGGGCTTGGCAGTGAGGGATATAACCGTGTAATTGAAACGCGGTTAAGTCGCACGGTAAGTATAGGCGGATATATATATATATATATATATATATATATATATATACGGCGAGAAAAAACACGTAAAACACAGTAAAAATGGGCCAGAACATGCACATGAACGTGCAGGACGGGGCGGGCGGGAGGAACATTCGTTTTTTAGACACTCACGTTCCTGATCGGAGCCATCCTCGGACTTGTCGTCCTTGCTCTTCATGAACGGGAACTTCCTGCTGAACGAGAAGTTCTTCTTCTTCCGGTCTAAGGTTGATTGCTGAAACCGACAAGTTTACTTGCGCCGTGCGTCGGAAATCGCGATTCGATCGAGCAGTTACATGTTTCGTTATTGCGCGCGTCCATTCGTGAAAGACAATTTCATTAAATGGTCCTTGAAAAAATAGGACTCTTCAAATAATATCGTAGCTTCAACACACGCGATACACATGACGCGAATTTAGGGCGACTAGCTTTCCCCTCGATCGTATTAAATTTGTAGGCGAAAACAGTCCGGCGGCTATCGATCGCGAATGAATATTCAATTAGCCGTCTCTCCTCGTCAACGTTAATGAATCCGGCTAAAACCGACGGACATGCTTTTTCGATTACGCGCATTACAAATCATCTCGCGGCGTTACAGAATAGAAATGCAGTTTATGCCGCGAAATCTTATCAAGTTTTTCAATTACATCATTTTGAAGTGATAGAACGATCGTATCGGATTCTCTATCACATTTCGATCACATTTCACAGATTAACATTTGCAATCGAGTATTCTAGAATATATTGATAGACAAAATATTCGTTAAAATTAAATGCAATTATATTTATAAATATTGATCTGAATTTATATGATAATTATTTTTGCACAAATTCGCTTATCGCTTGGATTTTCACTCAAATAATGAAATTTATAATATTCTTATCAATATATTTTGTCTTTGTAAAATAATCCTCTTATTATATTTCATGATTTATGAATACTTTTGCAGAAATTGGGTTCGTTGGGAAATTCCTGCCGGACTTACCTTATCGAGAATGACCGGCATGTGTCCCTGGAATTTGACAGAACGGTCTCTGGCACGCTGCTTGCGCTCCCATCTCCTGCGCGAGGGTATTATGCCCAGACCCTCCTCCTCGCCCTGAGGAGTGACTCTCCTCGCCTGCCACCATTCGTCGTCGCTGGCATTCGTCACGTGCAGGATCTCACCATAACGGAACGCCAAGCCGCGGCTCGGTAGACCATCGTCCTTATTGGGGTCGTAATCGAACAACGCTCTTCGGGGAGAAAAACGTCACGTTTACCATCGCATTTTAGACGCGCGCGAAATGGAATAGTTCGAATATCAATATGAATTCTACTTCGGAAAACCGAATATTGATTAACCGTTCGAAGAGCTCCGAGATTACGATTGTGCGCGGTGAATCGGATAGCGAAAAGATTTACGCGCGGAATTACCTCACGTAGAGTGATTTCTTTTGGGAGGTCCTCATGAGGGTGCCTGTCATCACATTCTGTTGCGAGATCTGTTGTTTAAGATCTTGGATCCTTGCCTCGAATCTGTTATAATCCTCTGGCTTATATTGCACGACGATTGTCACTGTCTGGCCGGTACCCTGAGAGCACGGCGTGAAGCCATACATATTATTTCGCGAATTGTGTCGGACTTCCGGAAGTTTGGAAAATACAAGTACCGATAATCAATATACATGATCATCTACATTTAAATCCAAATTCTATTTCGATTATTTAGCATTTTAATTTGAATTAACATATAAATTGTAATCAATTTCGTAAAAAGAATTGTAATGAATTAACTTATGCTAACATTAAATTTTTTTGTTAGGTAAAAACTAATTTCACAATTGCTTGAAACTTACGTATCGTGCAATGGCAAACGCTAGATCATTCGAAGGTCTCACCTTGAGGGCTGCGGCAGCCTCTTCATGAGTGGCTGTTCGAAGATTGACACCATTAACGCTCAGTATCTGATCGCCCCTGCGTAATTCACCGCTGAGATCGGCCGGGCCTCCGGCTAGAATGAACGAGATGAAGATACCTTCGCCATCCTCACCGCCGACAATGTTGAAGCCCAGCCCAGAGGATCCTTTGTTCAATACGACAGTGCGTACCTCCCTGTAAAATAAAAAGACAGCACACATTTAGCGCCGACAATACTTTCAAACGTCGTCGCTCCGATCGCATAAACGCAAATATATTTCGCGAAACTTATTTCGAGATGAATATTTAGAGTGAGAGCGAGTATTTATAAATATTTGTTAATTACAGATACACCTCACAGATGTTCTCAATTAAAAATCCACACAGGTAGATTCGTATATTCGCACTTTAGCGGGCAATCTGCGAGGGCGCATGGATGAAAATGCAGATTCCCGGGCGCGATTATCACGTTAATTAGAGAATCCGTCGAGAGAAATTCGGCTGCCACTGCGCAGTTGTCTTCGCGAATCCGAAGTGCACTCCGCCATAACGAGACGCATAATGCAAGGGCCCGTGCGAAGCGATGACATTCCTCAAGCGGCGTCGCTATCTTGGGTATGCATTGGAAGTGTCATACTGCGCGCATAAATGCATCTTGATACGGTCAGAGGAAACACGGATCCTGCGGGTGAGAACGGGAATTTCAATTCGCGGGATCAAAATGATGTCAGGAATTAATGAGCTGACGCATTTCGAGTGTATTTAACGTCGCGGCATGGCGAGATACGAAAATCCAATTGCGCGCAAATGTGAAACCGCGATTACAACCGCGAGGTAATGCAATCGCGAAATTTTAAGGACGCGATTTTGTCCGTGCAGCAAAATCGAAACTGCCGATTCTTTCTCCCCGTGTAACGAATATTCATTTACGAAAACATTGCGCCTGCAAATTAATTATGCAAAGTACAAGAAGAGACGTTTGCATTTCTTCTGAAAACATTGTTAAATGTAAACCAGTTTTCGGAGAGGGAAATATTTGCTTCTTGATGCGATAAAAGTGACGAATATTAGGTTCAGCGTAACAGTGATTACACGTGAATTTGCATAACGGTGCGAGCGTGACGCAAGAGCGCGACGATCAATGAGACGCTCTACGTAAGCGCTTACGCATCGAGCGTTCCGGGTCGCGTAGGGACGCTTATGTATTACGCTCAAGTCCTTACGTACGTGAATACAACGTACAAAAACATCGTCAGAAGAAATCGATCCGCAGAGAATATTAAACGAAAAGCGCCTCGGCCCGTTCAACGTCAACTTCCGCACACGTTCGAATGAATAAAACAGCGAGGTAAAAAATAATAACTTTCACGATACATCTTACGTCATACGGTTATTATTTTTTTTTTATCACCAGCAGAACTTATTTATAAACGATACATTCGATCCCGGATGTTCATTCGCAACTTTGGACGAGCCCCGACGGTAGCGCATTATTATCAGGATCGTCGCCGAGGGAATACATGGTGCATAACGCGAGGATTCCTGCGAGCGACGTATGCAATCTCGCCTCGATACAAACCACCATCGCGTCTCGGCTGCAACCTCATTCCGGGCTGCAACCACTCGACGATGTGGCGCCGTGCCACGGAGCGACGGCCCTCTCTCTCGCCCGCGTTAACAAAGACCTCGAATTAATGGTCGGTACGTCGTCGGTGCGCCGCCGCTACCGCGATCGTATTAAAGCCACGTTACATCGCTGCCGGCTCGCGAGATAGCGGCCACGAGTGTGTCCGACTGCAATCGCCCTTCGGTTATCTCAGCCTCGGGTGACGGGTGCAACCCGCTTATCACGCACATGTGACGATGTCCGGGGTGTCTATCAAACTGTGAAACGTAATAGAGTTTTGAAAATTAAACGTCGCAGTTATTATCGAAATATTATCACTCAATGATGATTTAATATTATAATATTGCCGATGACGTAATTAAAATAATAACAGCTCGCATTACGATTAATTTATCGTACTTCATATTATACGCCAAAGAATATATGAATATCGCATTTGTTGCAGCTTTACGCAACTCGCTGTTCATTAAAAGGAAAATGGAGAATATTCTTGAATACAAATCTAAAAAGAATGACTAAATAATGCTATTGAAAAAAAAATACTGTGCATTCTTATCACGCTTCTTGTAACTGTGTTTAGCGATTAATAGAAAAGCCGGATCATCCTTCGTATCTTTCAGATTCCCTTTGTCGCGATTGGCTCGCGCTAAACGGGGATTTAGGTGCCTCCGCGTGGTGGAGAGTGCGCGCCGGATGTGCGTAGACGTCCGCAGCATCTGTTTCCGCCAGTCGGATACACGCGTTGACGTTGACGCGCGTTACTCGCACCGGCCTTTCGCATGCTCTCGATTGGAAGTTATTACAATTCCGAACGGACGAGCCTTTTAGCGAAACGGTCGGAAATGGATTTTTCCTGCACGGTGTTGCGCAATATTTAAAGGGCAAACGGATAAACGGAGGTACGTCATTGTATTCTTTACATCGATAAATGAATACGATTTAGAGAAATGCCTACTTATTATAATTATTCAATAAATTCATTCATTCCGGAATCACAAAACTTTTTCTATCGCCAAGTGCACGATGTATACACAATGGATACAACGGCGCAATAGAAATTAATAATTTACACGTAGAATAACGCGTTAAAAATATTCAAGCTTCACAATTCAAGTCTGATTAATTACGAATTCGCTTTTTTACGGATAATCCACTTCTGAGACCGTGACTCCCCTTCACCCGTCTTTGCCGTTTATTTTGCTCGTACGCGAGGTCAGGCAGCAATCACAGAAATTACTGCTTTCCGCCGGTCGCACGTCAACCCTTAAGTCATTCTTCGCTTTACTCGTCTCGCGCGATAATGCATAATACCGTCTAATGCAATATGTATAGCGATATGGTACCGTTTGAATCGCTGGCTCCGAGGCGCTCCGCGCTCCCTATTTCATCGTCGTGACAAACATCGGCGAGAGTAGCACTTCACACACTTCATTAAAT